TTTATTAATATGTCATCTAATAGCTTAGTAGAAAAGCGCATGCAATTTGTTCAGTGTGAAATTGGAACAAGTTTCTTGTGCTTTTTTGTTATTTCAAGTGGAAAAAGTAGTATTTTGTTGGGTTCGTAGATGATGCCTCTTTGCTAGTGCAGTTTCCAGTCTTTGCAGGTCAGCTTTAGAAATGCTTCTTCATCCTCTCAGTAGCTAAATTGAAATGAATAATTCATCTCTATTTTCCTCTGTCCTCCTTCCTCCTCCTTTCTCCTTCTCCTCTCTTTCTCCCTCTCCTCTCTCCCTCTCCTTCTCCTTCCTCTTTCTCCTTCTCCTCGTTCCTCTTTCTCCTTCTCCTTTCTCCTTTCTCCTTCTCCTTTCTCCTTCTTCTTTCTCCTCCTTCCTCCTTCTCCTTTCTCCTTCTCCTTTCTCCTTCTCCTTTCTCCTTCTCCTTTCTCCTTCTCCTTTCTCCTTCACCTTTCTCCTTCTCCTTTCTCCTTCTCCTTTCTCCTTTCTTCTCCTTTCTCCTTCTCCTTTCTTCTCCTTTCTCCTTCTCCTTTCTTCTCCTTTCTTCTTTCTCCTTCTCCTTTCTTCTCCTTTCTCCTCCTCCTTTCTCCTCCTCCTTTCTCCTTCTCCTTTCTCCCTCTCCCTCTCCCTTTCCTCCTGTTTTTTTTGGAGATGCAAAGTTTTGCTTCCTTACTTTACTTTTTTTCCCCCAACCACCTAACAGTCTTTTGCGTACAGAATTTTTTTGTGATATTTTCATGTGTCCAATCTACAAGAACCTTTGGGTCCCATGTAACAAAAAAGGTACATTACCAATAAATATCACTTGTAATCATAATCTCTTTGGCCTGAGGGAGCTTAGTAATGGAACAAGTTTTGTATTTTGATTTAGTTGAAACTTACTGAGGAAAATAGACTCTAAAAAATTTATCAAAACCGACAGAAGTATTAATTGTTGTAGGGTGTACTGAAAGGATCTGTGTAGATGTTTGACTTACTTGTCTCGGGTGCTCTTGTAGCATTGGGGTAGTGTAATACAGCCAGAAATGTGCTTGCAGGGAGATCTAACCCTGCGGGTCTTTGGAGGGCTGAAAGAGCTGCTGGTCTCCCTTAGGAGCAACTCCAGATCACAAGGGAATCTGCTTTCCTGGGTGGATGCACAGGCGGAGAAATGACGGGCACTTTGTACTTCTTGTTCTCACCCAAGTAAAAGTGATGTTCTCACCCTAAATAAGTGAGAAAGGAGGCTGAGTGACACCGGCTTGCAGCTGAATCCAGGGGAGGAAGCAGTTTTCCATGACTTACTGGGTACCTTTTTGCTCTGGCACAGCTTGTGAGATCCGATGTCTGAGCAGCCGCGCAGTGACACGCTGTGGCACGTCTGAGATTTTTGGTTTTCCTACCACTTTTCTGAGCGTGCGAGCTCTGGCGATCTTTCCTAATGAGTTGTTTGGCTTCTTTGTTCCAGCGGCAAAGACGCACTGGTGAAATGGTGGGATCTGAACACCCAGCACTGCTTCAAAACTCTGGTTGGACACCGTGCTGAGGTACGAGAGGGTGTGGGGAGCCCCTTGGGTGGAGGGATTTGGGATTACAGGTCGTGGATCACGTTGTGCTTTCCCTGCTCTCAGGAGTTGTAACCTGGCACTGTGATGCATTTTGCTTGTCATTAGACTTCAGGAATGAACAAATGATAAACTTCCAGACTTTCTGGGAGCTGTCATCAACAGGCAGTGGGTGACAGTCCCTGGAGGAGGTCCCGCCTAGACCTCATCTCCTCTTGGTGCTGTTGAAATAAACTAACGAAGGATGCTTTGCTGTTGTTACGACGGTTAAAGAAGCCTTAAGCCAATTCCTCACATTGTGCCTCTGGACAGGTTTGGGGGATGGCTTTGATATCTGAAGAGAAGCGTCTGATCACTGGGAGTGCTGACAGTGAGCTGAGGGTGTGGGATATCACGTACATCCAGGAGGTAAGCTATTCCCTCTGTAACCCCTCGCAGTCTTGCCCGGCTGCTTGTCTTTGGCTGAGATGGGACTGGAACATGTTAAATCTGACTGACGTTCTGGGAAACGGAGCCAAGCAATGTCTTTGCTGCCTGAGGGCTCCAGAAGCTGCTCTTGGGATAGATTTTAGTGTACTCTAACCACGTGTTCCTCCAGGGAAAGGGAGTGTAAGTGAGACAGAAACCAGAACACCACAGCTCTTGTGATTTATAATACTCCTTATGCGGGTTATTTTTCCTTTGTGAGCAGGTAAAAGACCCTGATGAGCCAGAATCCAAGAAAAGCAAAGGAACTTCGCCTGGAGCAGAAGAAAACACTGAAGACGATGAGACCCTGGTGTCAGATGAATGTCCTGAGGAAGTAAGCTGTCTGTGGGATGGAGTACCTAACATTGTTTGCATGGTGCTGCTTGCAGAGCCAGCAGGAGTTTGAGTTGCTCACGTGTTGCTTCTCTGTATTGGGTTTATACCCCGAGAGTCCTATTTCACCTGTAAGGGAAAATGTGGGAATTCTTGTCCTGCTTCAGAACATCTTCCTCAGCAGCAGTTGCTGCATCATCTACCTGCAAAACATCAGCAGAAGTATGTGTGCCAACGTGCACCCGTTATTCTTCACTGAAAGCTTTTCCTTGGCCTTCTGCAGGGGATGTTTGAAGTCGGACAGTGCTAACGGAGCTCTCTCATCAAACAGCACGGGAATAAAATAGCTACGAGCAGGTTGGCAGCTGCTGGGTCCGGTGCTGGTGCTCAGCTCAGCGGGTCAGTAGCAGCAGCTGAGGGGTCAGGGTGGCACCGTAACGAACCAGGGTGTGAGATTCGGTTGCAGAAAGCCATTCTCAGTGGTGCTGCTGGGGGACACTTGGCTGCATCTGTCTTTTTGGTGGAACTTCATCTGGAGTTCTCCTCAGATTTCAGACTACTTGTAGTGATGGTAGATACCTGACCTTGTGAAATACTTTCCCAACTTCCTCTCCAGGGGATTTCTGTCCCTTCAACCACCTGTTTGAGAGTCTTTGTTCTCACCTTTCTGCCTGGTCTGATAGAGGAACTGAGCTCTGCTGCCTTGGTAGCATAAAATTTCAGCTGTCTCCGAAACGGCTGTGGTTTGCCAAGAAAGTTAAGTTCTGACTGAGAATGTCAGCGATTATTTTCAGCTAAAATGCAACAAAATGAGGAGATAAGCCTGTGTGTAGCTCCCACAAATGCTTGTTTTGCCCCTAGGTTATCCTTGCTAGCTGTTCTACCAGGACCCTCTAGGTTCCTTTCCCCCTTTTCTCCTCTTGTCCTCCCTTACCTGCAGGTTTCGGAGTTTGCTTGAGGCAGTCGCTTGACCTTTCAGACCAAAGTTCTTCTCCTTCTTTCCCTGTAGCGCCTCGTGAAGTGCAGCAAAGTTGGATCCATCATACGGGAAGGGAGAGACCGAGTGGTCACTCTTGCCACAGACCGAACGGGCAAGATTTTGGCCTGCCATGTACGTAACGGGGGGCTCTGCTCTCGAGCTGTAGAGGAGGCTGTTAGATACCTTGGGTAATTTCTGTAAGGACCAGCCAGGGCGTTGCATGCCTTTGACTTTGTTTGCTCTGTCTCCAGGGAACAGATGCCGTTCTGGAAGTGTTCTCCATCCTTTCGAAAGAGGAACTCCAAAATAAATTGGAAAAGAAAATGAAGAAAGCAAAGAAAAAAGCCAAGTAAGCGGCCTTTTGGATGTATCTGGATGCTGCCTGCCTCCAGAGAACTGTTAGAAAAGCCCTTCAGCAGTGTAACACCGTGGTTGAACTCCAAGCTACTGGTCATTCTGTCTGTGCTAGCTGTTGTATTTTGGGGATCACTGTTCCTGTGCATCCTTGGTGCTTGTCTGCTCCCAGAGACTAAGAAAATACCTTTCTTTCTGAATCTTCCCACTGCCAAAAAAGCTAACGTGTACAGAGGGCTGGACATAAAATGGATTTTTCAGAGCTGCTCACTCCTGCCAGACATTCATATTTACACTGCTCGGTGCATCAGATAAAGTCCTTGATAGGACATAGAGGAATGAGAGTTTCATCTGAGAAATCAGAGTGATTCTGATACCTCACCTCCTGTTTTACAGCAGGCAGAGGTACAGGTGAGAGCTTTCTTGATCTTTATTTCACGTTAAGTGTCTCTCTGGGTATCTTGGTGCCTCACAACAGCCCTTAGAGAGGTCTGGTTCCAGAAACTGAAGCACAGGGCATGTAAATCTGGAGATGCATTTTGGCAATGGCCGAGGACTTTTTGTGAGTGGCAGGAGATGAGCAGAAGCTCCGAGGGCTGGAGCCCCTCTGCTCTGGGGACAGGCTGGGAGAGTTGGGGGGGTTCAGCCTGGAGAAGAGAAGGCTCCGGGGAGACCTTATAGCACCTTCCAGTGCCTGAAGGGGCTACAAGGAAGCTGGGGGGGACTTTTTACAAGGGCCTGGAGTGACAGGACAAGGGGGAACGGGTTTAAATTGAAAGTGGGGAGGTTTAGATTGGATATCAGGGAGAAGTTCTTCCCAGAGAGGGTGGTGAGGTACTGGGACAGGTTGCCCAGAGAAGCTGTGGATGCCCCATCCCTGGAAGTGGCCAAGGCCAGGCTGGATGAGGCTTGGAGCAACCTGGTCTAGTGGAAGGTGTCCCTGCCCATGGCAGGGGGGTTGGAACTGGATGGTCTTTGAGGTCCCTTCCAGCTGACACCATCCTGTGACTCTGTGATTCTATGATCTCCCCCTCAAACACAGCTTTCTGTTGTCTCTTTTATATCCATCTTTCTAAGGTGCTGTGTTTAAGTTTAAGCTCCAGAGGAGGTTGCATTTTTTTAGGACAGTTTTGTCTCTTTAGTAGTTTGCATACCAGCACTAACTTCACTCTCTCACCCTTCTCTTAAATGTAGTTAGCACTGCTGGGCAAGAGGGCGGTTGTTTCAGCAGGCTAACTGGTTTCTTTATCTTACTCTATCTCTGTTGGTTTTTGTTGGCTGTGCTGAGTTAGTTGACTCCCCTCTGTTATCTGACATCTCTAGACAGGATTCTGAAGAGGAACCGGAGAGGCCTGTGGAGCTGAGCCTGCAGGAGGAGATTCAGCGGGTCACTAACATCAAAGCTTCTTCTAAAATCAAGTGAGTAGGAAGCCTGTTGTAGGGGCTGAGCTGTGGGTATGCAGCTACATGGGGAGAGCTCTGCACAGCTCAGTATAGGAGAGGTGGAAGAAGTTCCCCCTTTGGCATCTGTTCAGCTGGGAGCTGGGGCGGGGTCTGCTGTGAGGTCCAGCCCATTCGCACGTGGAAGCACACATGCACCCAGCACACCCCCTTCTTGCACACCTCTGGGACTTATCATGCGCTTGCTGGTGGCGTGCACTCCGCCGGTATTGCTCTTCCTCAGTTGCTCTTGGTGTTTGATCCCTCCTGCAACAAAGGTCTTCTTGTCCCTGTGTACGGCTCTGATTCTGCCTCATCAAACAGGTCGTTCGACTTGATCCTCTCTCCGAAAGGAGAGCTGAAGATCGTGCTGCTGCTCCAGAATAACATCGTTGAGTCGTACAACCTGAATCTGTCAGCACAAGTCCTGCAGGCTGTCCGTGCCTCCAAGATAACCATCGGGGGCCACCGCAGCGATGTCAGGACGTTGGCTTTTAGCTCTGACAACATTGCCGTTCTCTCGGCAGCTGCGGAGTCGGTAAAGATCTGGAACAGGTACGCCGGTCCCCTTGTGCCAGTCCCCCCTGCCGACGTGCATCAGTGCAACTCAGGGATGCTGTGCTCAGACAGGCAGCAGTAAGGAAGGGGGCATGATGGAGGAATACAAAATATTCTTCAGGTTGCCCAGAGAAGCTGTGGATGCCCCATCCTTGGAAGTGTTCAAGGCCAGGCTGGATGAGGCTTGGAGCAACCTGGTCTAGTGGAAGGTGTCCCTGCCCATGGCAGGGGGCTTGGAACTAGATGATCTTTAAGGTCCCTTCCAACCCAAACCATTCTATGATTCTGTAACACTGAATGAAGGGAAGGAAGAATTTAGAAACTATTTGACTTCTTTCCTTACTGGGGAAACTGAGAAGCTAAAACTGTCTAATTAACTCACAACATTTGATGCTGTAAGAGCAGCACTGAGGCTAGGTTTACTGGCAGGTATGCAAAGACAGATCTCAACACAAAGACATAGCAGTCTGGTATAGACTGAGTTTTGTTGTTTGAGGTTTTTGTCCTTTTTAATTAGGGGTACTGACTTACCCTAAACCAGCTACTGCCTGTTCTGTAAGGAGCATGTGGGTTTCTTCGCGTCTCATCTGAAGGATCTAGTGTTAGACTGAGTAGGCTGCTGTTTTGACCTGGAGTGTTGTCCCGGTGTCTCCTGAGTGATGCTGATGTCAAGCTCTGATTCCCGTGAGCGCACTGTCTAATGCTCCTCTCCTGAACAACAGGAATTGCTGTCTGAGAACGGGAGCTCCGTCCTTGCTCATACCAGCAATAAGTCACAGTGGTGGACTATGTAACGGCATGTTTTTATGGAAAATGTTCTTAGCAGTGAAGCTGGATAGCATTTGGGTCATAGGATGGTGAGGGTGTGGCCCCAGCTGAAAAGACAGCTGCGGGCAGAGGCCGCCCTGGAGTGTGTCTCGCTGAATGGGCCAGATTTTGTGTGTGATGAGAGGTTTTGGGCTCTGCCTTTTGTCCACAGAGCGACCTTGCAGTGCATCCGGACAATGGACTGTGAATATGCGCTCTGCTCTCTCTTTGTCCCGGGAGATCGGCAGGTCATCGTCGGCACCAAGGTAAATAGCGTCCTCCTGCACTCCGGACTGCCCGGGCCTGGAAGTACCTTGTGGAAGTGTCATTAAGGCAGCCCCACAGGAAATGCATTGCATCTCCTGATATGTTCGAGGTGCAAAAACCTCTCTTGGCAGTCAGGTCCTGCTCTGTTCCCAGACTCTTTGTGCAGCTCTTGAGCTGGACAGCTGGGGAGTCCCTGATGGCGATCAGGAGTTTGGCCCTCTGTGTGTAACAGCCATCTGGCCGTCTGGGAGGTGGGTGGCTGGGGTGCTTTCCTGCCAGGAGCTGTTGTGTGTCGTGAAGGCCCAGGGGCTGATTTGTCCCCCGTGATGTCTCTCTCCCCAGACAGGGAAGCTGCAGCTGTATGACCTGGCTTCCGGGAGCCTGATGGAGACACTCAGTGCTCACGACGGGGCGGTGTGGTCCATTGCTCTTTCACCAGACCAGGTAACTCGCTGCCCTTCCGGGTGTCATCTCTTGCCTGTCTTCTCTCGTAGCTCCTTCCTATGGCGCCGTGTCTGCGCTCCCGGTGGGCGCACGGGAGCCCCTCGTCCCGAGAGGCGGAGGGTGCAGCTGGTAGCGTCTGAGAACTGTAACTGCAGATACATGCAGAGCATGCTGGAATGTCCTTCTGGCTGTGGGGCACAGGGCAGTGAGTCTTGGGGCTGAGTGGGGCCATCCTCATCGCCTCACCTGCCTTCTGCATGATGGAGAACTCACGGTGGAGTCCGTGTGTGGAGCAGTACATACCCTGTGGATGTGCTCCAGCTGTGGGGAGCTTCAGCCCCTTGTAACCTCCTGCAGTGGCTGATTATCCTCGTTAAATTAGCTGGCCGTCTGCTGGATTAAAGATCTTGTTAACACACAGGGGTGTTTTTTCTGTGTGTTGCACTCTTGGGTGACCAAATCACCCTCCTTGGCGCTCTGATGGTCACTAGGCTGAATTTCTGTCCCTGCAGGATCTGTCTTCTTCTTGAGGCTGAATTTCTGTCCCTGCAGGATGTGTCTTCCTCGTAATAGTTCTTTTTACAGAGTCACAGAGTGGAAGGGGTTGGAAGGGACCTCTAGAGATCATCTAGTCCCACCCCCCTGCCGGAGCAGGATCCCCCAGAGTAGATCACGCAGGAAAAGTTTTTAAGTTACTATAGTCGGTTTGGGCTTGTTTTGTTCCTGCTGGTGGCCCCAGGATCTGGGTGCGCTGTGTGATAGGAATTACAGCAGTGTCAAATTGGATAATCCCTGTGGAATTAACTTTCTGTAAGCGCTTTTCTCCATATTCAGTTCACTTTCTTTGCATGGTGGAAACTGCGGTTACCTGTCACTTCTGTTGCCCATGCTCAGTTACTATGCCTGCCCGCTTACTCTGTCGGGATGTCGCTGTTACGTGAGTTTCTTCCTGGATGTCCCCCCGTATTTCTGAAGTTGCTGGGAATGGCCGTTGACAGTTTAGAGGCTACCTCATTCTGCTCGGTAAAAGTCTCGGATTTGGGGGAGCTGAACTACTGATGTGTAAACGTCTGATGGAGGTAGCTGCTTTTGGACAGCCTTGTGAGTTTTGGGGGCATTTTTTAACCACTGGCTTGTGATGTGATTATGGTACAATGGGTGAGAAATGTTTGCTGAATCCATGTTTACTTAGCATTGCTGTTTCATAGTTCTATTTCCCTCTAGAAATGGGTCAGTCCTACTGAAGAGATTATTATTTTTTTCAATGTTCCCGTTTTACAGGCACACACTCGCTCGGTTTGGCTTAACCACCCTGGCTGTAGCAGTCTGTATGTGTCTCCCCCTCCTTGTAGCAGTTCAGGTTCATGCTGGTTTCTATCAGTTTTCACTTTCTTCTCTTTGTTGTGTATGCCTTCCTTATGACATGGTCATGTTGTGCGAGAAGCTGGAGGTGCTTTTAGTGGGATCAAAACCGTAACAAGTAATAACCTGCCTGAGAGTCATTCACCGTACAGATTAAAGCATATGTAGCTTGCAGCTTGCAGCTTTCCAGTATCTGAAGGGGGCCTACAAGGGTACTGGGAGAGGACTTTTTACAAGAGCCTGTAGTGATAGGACAAGGGGTAATGGGTATAAATTGAAATCAGGGAGGTTTAGATTAGATGTCAGGAAGAAATTCTTCACAGAGAGGGTAGTGAGGCACTGGAACAGGTTGCCCAGAGATGTTGTGGATGCCCCATCCCTGGAAGGGTTCAAGGCCAGGCTGGATGAGGCTTGGAGCAACCTGGTCTAGTGGGAGGTGTCCCTGCCCATGGCAGGGGGGTTGGAACTGGATGATCTTTAAGGTCCCTTCCAACCCTAACCATTCTATGATTCTATGATTCTATGATATGTGACAGGATTTACCCTTGTTTTTAATGTGAAAGGGGTGATATTGAACTGTTCTTCCTTTAGAAAGCTGTGCTGGGGCTGGGGGAAAGCTGTGTGTGATGCAGTAGCAGTGAGGGTGTCAGCTTGCTCACCAGACCCAAGCGCGTCGTTGCCTGCAGCAGAGATGGCTGCTTTCAGCTCCAAAGTTTCAGTCTGCGTCGTCATTGACATCTGGAGGCTTTGTCTTAGACCTCCCTGCCAGAGCTTTGGAAATTGTTGCTGTTGCTCAGCCATTGGGTGACGGATGCTCCAACCAGAGAAGGTGCTCCTGGGGGTGTCCACTTAACCATTAATACCAAAGGGACGTGGGACATTTCAAAAACCTCCTTGTGTGTTGACAGTTCCTTGCAATAGGATTTCTCCAGGCTGTAGTGGTTTCACAAGGATTCTTCTGTTTTCCCCCGCAGCGTGGCTTTGTGACAGGAGGCGCCGATAAATGCGTCAAGTTCTGGGAGTTCGAGCTTGTGAAGGATGAGAGCAGCCTTCAGAAAAGGTGAGAAAATAAACCTTCCCGGACTGCGTTCAGCTGCAGTATCCGTTGTCGTGGACTTCGCTGCGTGCTGTAAGAAGTGCCCGTGGAGCACGTGGAGAGGAGTGAGCTCCCTGCTGTTTCAGGAAGGCCTGCACGTGGCTGGGAAAGGGCGCTTGCCACATTCTGATCCCTTCTTCTGTCTGAGTTTAGCTTCTGATCACAGGACGGGCCTCCAGATCATTCAGGAGCCAGCTCAGCAGTGACGTTGATCAGCCTGCAGTGCCGTGCTTGTTCCCAGTCCTGTCTGGGTCAAGTTAGGATGAGGAATGAGATGCCGTGTGTCAGAATGAACTTGCTTTCCCGGGGTGCAGTGTGGGACGTTGTGTTCATCTCTTCCTAACTTGTCTGTTTGGGATAACGGTTGTTTTATTCCTCTTCCCGTTGCCAGGCTTTCCATAAAACAGGTGCGCGTTTTGCAGCTGGATGAAGATGTTCTCTGTGTGCGGTACAGCCCCAACCAGAAACTGCTGGCTGTCTCCTTGCTGGATTGCACTGTGAAGATTTTCTACGTTGACACGCTCAAGGTGCGTGATCAAACGGGCTGTGAGGCTGTGCAGGGGGTAGTGGAACTGTAGCCGGAAAGTTCAGGAATACATAGGAAAAGTGGCTTTGTGGGACACCAGTGAGAATCGAAGAGAGACCATCAGTCCCACTTCAGGTGCCTCCGTGCTAGCAAACCTGGCAGGGCCGTGGCTGGCCCACACTACCGGGAGGATCCCTTTTTTCATCTGGGAAGGGTTGTGAACCTGCGGGTAGCAAGGTTCGCTCTGAGCCCTGCAGGCGTGGTGGTACTCCAGAGCTGCGAGGGCTGCCAGGGTAGGGATGGATGTGTCACACATGGCATTAAATAGGGCGGAGCCAGGGAAAAGCCTGGGGCAGGAGAGTCTTCCCTGTGGGCGGGTGGGATGGCTTTGTGAAGGGTTTATTAGCATGTGAATGCTGGGAATGGCACAAGACAGACCAGCACTGCCAGGCAGGCAGAGAGGAACAGGGGTACTCGGCATAGGCAGCAGTGGTTAGCACCAGAGCCAGCCCAGCTTGTCAGGATGCTTCCGCCCTTCTCTCAGTGCTGCCATCGTGGCCCTGCTGCTAACAGTGTTCAGGGCAAGAAGGGGCAGCTCTGAGGCAGAGCTGAACTAGCCTGGAGCTTGAGATTTTCGCCCATCTCCACCCAGCACTTCTGAGACACCTTTCTTCTGCTTCAGTTTTTCCTCTCTCTGTACGGACACAAGCTGCCGGTGCTGTGTATGGACATCACCTACGTAAGTATCGTCTGGGCTGGGTGTGATATGTGAGAACCTCTGCTGGCAGCCAGGCCTCGATGAGAGACCATGCTCTCTGGTCACCGCCTTGCTGCCAACTTAGCAGTCTCTTGATGGGACACAGCAAGGCCCTCCCTATCCCGCAATCCTGTGCTCGCTGGGAGGCGTCATGGAGTAGCGATCGTGACGGAACTGGCCGTTTTGTGAGTGGA